GAAGATCATTCTGTAGAATGCAAGACCTGAACTGTTTAAAAACTATTAAGTCATGAAAGACCAAGGAACTTTTCCAGTTCCAGTTTTGTTTGTTCTTTTGTTTTTGCATTCGTAGGAATTGAACCATGTGCTAGGCAAGTTCTTTACCTCTGAGCTGTGTCTCCATCCCTGAAACTTTTCCAGTTTGAAGGAGATCTGGAAATACATGACAACAAAATTCACCGTAAGTACCTGGAGAGGACTTAGGATTAGTTGGGACATAGTTGAGTGAAATGTTAATGTTGTATCAATGCTGATTTCTGCATTTGGAGGGTTGTATAATGGTTATACTGGAGGGTGTCTGTTTTGTTGGTATATATGCTGAATATTTAGGGTGATGGGGCATATAGTCTGTAGCTTTCTATCAGATTGTTTAAAAGAATTTGAGATTAGAACAACAAAACCATATAGACACAGATAGGGAGAGAGAAAGCAGATATAAAATACTCAAAACTAGAGAATCTGAGTGAAGGAGACATGAGAGTTCTTGTAACTTTTCTGTTATTTGAAATTATTTAAAGATAAATATGAAATATTAATATTCATTTTCAAAATAAATACAAAAACAAGTCTATATGAAAATTGTACATAAATATTCATAGCAGCATTATTCATTGTAACTAATAGCCATTAACTCAAATGTATAAATGAAATGTCATATATTCATACATTGAAATATTATTTGGCAATGAAAAGTAAACACTGACACGTTCTACAACAAGATGAATCTTGAAAACATTATGCAAAGTGAAAGTTGCTTATTATAAAAGACAGCATATTGTTTGACTCCATTTAATTGAAATATTCAGAATAAAAAATTCATAAGAGATAGAAGGTAGTGAGTTAGTTGTAGCTAGGGAAGGGTGAGTGGCTGAAAAGAGATATGGGGTTTCTTTTTGGAGTGAAGAAAATTCTCTACAAGTGATTGTGGTGATGATTGCACAACTGTGAGTATACTAAAAATCACTGAAGTGAACAAATGGGTGAATATTATGGTTTGTGAAATATATCCCAATAAAACTGTAAAAATAAGTTGTTTTTTTTTTTAGTTGCTGGTGGACTTTTATTTATTTATTTATATGCAGTGCTGAGAATTGAACCCAGTGCCTCACACAGGCTAGGCAAGCGCTTTACCTGTGAGCTACAACCCCAGCTCAAAGCCATGACATCTTTTAGGCAGTGGCACCCAGACAGACTGAGAGGAACTGTGCTTTTACTAAGCAAAAAGAGACCCTACATGAGTAGTTCCCCAAAAAGGCCAAACCACCAACTGACATGGCTTCCCTCTTTTTCTCATTTTATGTCTCACTTCCCCTACCAGCACTGGAGACAAAGAAGTGTGATGGCTCTATACCTCCATTGCCTGAATATGAATGCAATCTCCCACAATCTGTGTGACCTTGGGCAAATTATATCACCTCTCTGTGTTTTGTTATAAAATGGGGATAATTGATGGAGTTATTGTCAAGAATAAATGACACAATCCATGAATTTTTCAAAAGTATCTGTTACTTATTGGAATTTATTAGAAATTGACTACTTTTTTAAAAAAAACTTCTGAGATGTGTTTTCTTCTTAGAAGACTTCAATCTATTTCATTCTCCCATTTATCGTTGGCCATTGCCCTACTACATGACATTTCCAACTAATCAGTCCCATGGAATGAAAGAATCTACTTTCTGTCTCTGAGATATTCTTTTTCTATCTTCCATTTCTTCTTATCACCTGGAGCCCAGTGTGAGAACTACAGAACATGGCTCAGGTCACTGCTGTCATTCCTTTATATTCTCACAGACTCAGTCCAAACTGCACAAGCACCTTGATTGCTGTCGTCCTGCAGACTGGAAAAGCACATAGGAGCTTAGCAAGGCCTATCATGGGACCTGATGCTCTTTTCATGCTAACAATATGTCAGTGACTCTACATGGATTGTTTCATTTCGCCTTCGAACAAACTGTATCTTGTAGACTTTTATTATTCTCTTTTCCACTTGAGAAAATTGATGACCAGAAAAGTTAATTTGTCAAGGACACACAGCCATGAACAGATACAGCCAAGATTCCAATCAAGCTCTGTCTTCAGATCCTATTTTCTTTACTGCTGTGTTTTATTGCTTGACCCTTCCAAGAATAGTAAAGAGTTTACAGACCAGGCCCTCTTCCAGGGAAGCCAAAACAAATAGAGATCAGAAATCATGTCTTACTATCTATCTGGGTACTCTCAATGCCTAGGACACTACCTGACATTTGATAAAAATTTAGAATGTTTGTTCAACTGTTCAACCATTTATGGATCATCTGGTAAGGAATTAAATGAATCATATAACTTGTAGAGTCCTTCTTCTACTTACTAGCAAGACAATTAGAGAGTTGCAGTCAGAGATCTTTCAGAATTCTGGTCCTGCCTTTTGGTAGCTATATGACCTTGGACAGATGTCTTTATTTTTATTTATTTTTTTGGTACCAGGGGCACTCAACCACTGATCCACATCCCCAGCCCAATTTTGTATTTTATTTAGAGACAGGGTCTCACTGAGTTGCTTAGCACCTCACTTTTGCTGAGGCTGGCTTTGAACTCATGATCCTCCTGTCTCAGCCTCCCAAGCCAGTAGGATTACAGGTGTGCATCACCATACCCGGCAAGATGTCTTTTTTTTTTTTTTTTTTAGTTGTAGATGGACAAAATACCTTTATTTTATTTATTTATTTTTATACAGTGCTGACGATCAAACCCAGTGCGTCACATGTGCTAGGGAAGCACTCTACTGCTGATCTACTCCCCACCCCAACCCAGCCCCAGACAGATGTCTTTAATGCCTCCTTTGAGTCTTGAATCCTTTTACTGGAAAATGTGGTAAAACATTACCTACTTCATAGCACTGCTATTTAGATGGAATGAAATAATGCTGCAATGCTAAACATATGGTAGCTACTCAATAAATGATAGTTATTATTATTGCCACCTGCCATCCTGTCTTCCAAATAAGCCTTTGTGAGGAGATAACTATATGTTGGTTCCCAACTTAAAATTAATGAAGCAGAAATTGAGATTCAAAGTAGAATAGTGGTAATAGCATTAAGTTGGGCATCAGAACTTGTCTCCTGACTTTTGTTGCCCTCTCTGTATCTAGCAACTATTTAACCTTGGTCAAGTCACCTTAATTGTCAGGGCTTCCAATTCCATGCCTCCAATGGGGGCATCAAACTTCGATTTAGAATTGATCTTTGAAGCCTTTAGAATTCTCTGAATTTGTTACATTTGAGATTATGAATTATTACCCTTGGTTTGATTGTTTTTAAGAAAATTAGTTGGGTTGAGTGGAAGGTATACATTCATCAGTAATTCTCTTTAAACAGTTACACGTTGTTTATTTACTTAAAACTTTCTGAAACATACTTCCTCCAACTACCGCAGAAACTTGCTTGAAAGCTACACAAGACTCAAACCCACCACCTACCGGTGAATATAGGAAGTTTCAGGTTGGTGATACAAGATGCCCTGCCGTCACAAGTAAAAGATGGGTATTCATAGCAATCTTTTATATCATGTTCTTTTTGTCCTCTCATCACTGATGATGATATTAAGTACACAGAAACTTCCTGACTTAATAGCTTCTCCATTTAGCAATAGTCTTAAAACCCATGAAACATTGTGGACTTTAGAGAATTAGTCAAAGATCGTTGTTTTTAAGATGGGGGAGGGGGACAAAGGCGCCCTCTATTCATACAGCTCAAACCCCTCCTACTCAACATCGGCTCATAATATCCATATATTATGGATAGAGAAACCGTTCCTCAAATGCCTGGTTCAGAGAATCAAAACCACTAACTTAGAAAAGAGGTAAATCAATACATCAGTGGGATCCTTAATATCAAGTATCTAACGACTTTGCTGTATCCTCCACAGTAATTACGTCTTCAAATTCAAATATCTAAAAGCAGGAGTGTAAAGTTGGGGAAGAGGTCTGAGTCCTAAGATACTACGGCAGTTGGTATAGAGATATCGTTCTGTTTTTTTTTTTTTTTTTCTTTCCCCGTTAGTTCTCCTATCTTTCTTTTCTCTCTCAAATGAGTAATTAAGACAAGCATTATGTTTAAATAGAACAGATAGTGTCCTGTGCAGGGTGATTTGCTTATTTTAGAAGGCACCTGGAAATTCTTCCTGATCGAAAATATTTCTGAGTCTTTTTATGAAATCAGAAATTAGGACATTTTCCAAAAGTCTGCTATAGGTACACTGGAGTCTACTTTTGAGATTCATCTTTACTTCAGCAGTTTCCTACACTTTCTTGAGAATCTTACATAGGATCAGTCCTGCTAGTAGGAACCTCTTGGGTTTTTTAACTTAAAAATAAGTTTGATTTCCAGTTTTTACTGTATTCACGAATATTGGCTAAGTCTTTGAATGATATAATATCATGTACCTAGTTAACCTTTGAAAACCTTAGGACTGAATGCCTCCACTGGCATCCGGGCATTTATTCCTATTTCTACAGCTTAAACAGGCTCCTGGGAGAAGGAGTTTCGACCGAGAAGTTCAGAGAAGCAGTTGTATGGAACTTGCAACAGTTGGTGTCGGGCGATAGGCAGGTTGGAAGTGATAAATGGGGCAGGTTTAAAAACAAAAAGCCCCAGGGAAGGAAGGAGCAGCCGTGGCCTTGGGGGACAGAGCGAGGGCGGCGCGGGGCCGAATTCTGGCCGTGGGAAGGAGGCTTTCCAGGCGGCCGGAGGCAGCGGCGGACGCAGTGGCGGACTGCAATTCGCAGCCGGGCGGGTGGGGACGCGGCGGGGAGGGCGCGCGGGCGCAGGCCGCCCCGGGGCCAAGAGAAGGTGAGGCCGTCACTGCCCCCGCGCCGCCCCCGGCGGGAGGCGCGACGCCCAGGCCGCGGGTGCGTGCGCGGCCCCGGGCGACGCGGCTGGGCGTGCGCGGGGCCGCGGCGGAGGCAGGGCCGGGCTGGCGGCAGAAGATGGCGAGGGTGTGTAGGCGGCAGCAATGCTCCGTTGAGAGACGCGGCTTTCGGCAAGAACTGGACTCGTGGCGCCACAAGCTTATTCACTGTGTAGGTGAGACCCTCCTCCGGCCGCCTCCGGCCCTCGAGCCTCCCCGCTACTGGCAGCCCCGGGCGAGGGAGGGAGCCGGGGCAGAGGCGGCGCTGCTCCGGCCCGCCCGCCCTCTTGGGCTCGGGCGCCCCCTCCCCCACCCCCCGGAGTGCGAGCGCGCGCGACCTCCAGGCGGGCTCTCCTCCTCGGCCCGGGCGCGCGCCGGCCCCTCCCCTCGCGCGCCTCCCGGGGCGGGTTCTCGGCGCGCGCGCCCCTCCGCCTCCCCGCCCGGCACCGCTGCCAGTTTATTGTGGAGTCTGCGCCCCCCGCCTCGCCCCTGCTCGGGGGTGGCTGAGGGCGGGGGTCTCCGGGTAGTCTGCCCCCGCCCCCTTTCTCCTGCCCCCACCCCTCCCCCACGCGTGGTGGCGCGCCCCCGTTCCCGCGGGCACGCGCGGCGGGCGGCGGGCGGGCGCCCGGCGTTCGGCGTGTGCGAGGCGTGAGGTGGAGATGGGGGCGGAGGGAGCCGGAGCTGTCACAGGCCCGGGGTCTGCCTGACCAAGCCAAGTGGGGTGTCATGGCCGCGGGGGGCAGCGGCTGCACTTCCTCCGCGGGCGGCGGCGGCGGCGGCGGCCGGGGAGTTAGTCCTGGACGCACGGGTCGGTGTGTGCGTATTTGTGTTTGGCGTGTGCGCGGCGGGGAGGAGGGGGTGGGACCGAGCCCGCCCGAGGAGCCGGGCGGGGGTCGCTTCTGTCCCGTCGGGACTGGCCGGAGCCGCCGCCTCGCGGAATGCCTAGTCCGCCCCTACCCCCAGCCTCCCGGTCCTTGACGCCCCCCGGGTGGCTTTTTCCCGCGGGCCGGAGGGAATGTGGACGGGGGCGCCCCGGGAGGGGCCGGGCGACCGAGCTGCGCCTCTCACACTGTGTGTTTTGTCTGTTTTTCTCTTCCAAGGTCCCGTTTCCCTCTGTGCGGCGGCCGGCGGGACCATAAGGGCTTAACTCATATATTTAACCCCCCTCCAAAAAGTAAGTGGCCGGTGTGGTGTCTCCGCTCCGCCCGCCGCCCCTAGCCCCAGTCCATCCTTGTGTCTGACTCTCCTGTCCTCAGCATTGTTATTTCCTCGTCGTGCTGCTGATGTGTGGGGAAATGCCCTCTTTTCGTCCTCTGTCCCCCACGCCCAGCCCTCGGGGAGGCCCAGAATTTCAGCACCCCCACCCTGTGAAGAGTATTCTTGGGAACCAGTTCTTCCCCAACAGAATCTGGGCGATTCTGTCCATTCGCTTGGGCCCCTCTTACCCTCCTTCCCGACGGGGTTTCGTTGGAAGGAATTATGCAAATCCTGCTTTCTGGTGTCCATTCAGCGGCAATTTCATGCGGTGAGAAGTTCTCTTTGTTGTGCGAGGGGGAGAACAGACACTGATTTAATAGACATATCTGTTGGGGGGAAGGGTGGAGGGGGTGTGGAGAGGCTCAGTTTGGAAGAATTACAGCACTTGGTTAGCTCAGTCTTTGTGTTTGAGCCTTCTGGCTTGACAGGAGGGTCTGCCCTTTACAATGTCCCACAAGGGATGTTTTTCTATAATAGATTAAAAAGCAAAACTGAAACTTTAAACAAGTGAAAAATAAGGTATCCTTTACTTAGAGAATATAAGACTTTACTACATTTCTGCAGTGTTTCTTTATGGAAATGTATAAGGTGAATTTTGTTAATGATTTAGTCTGTAACATCAAAATTCATATAGGCAACAATGCTGTAAGGTATCTGATATCACTTTGGTTGTCCAAAGGTTAAAAGTACATTTTAAAATTCATGCCTGTGTAAATAAGAAAGGCATGAACAGCTTTTTTTGGTATGATTTGTCTTGTGAACATATGTTAAAAATTCCTCTCCTGCCAATTCAAGCCTATCTCTGCCCTCCAGGAAATACACAGCCTTTTGGCTATCAGTTCTCATTTTTACTGTGCTGTCTCTGCTTGTTTAATTCTTTCAAACCTGTCATATATATTTGCTAAAATGTTAAATTGGTTTACGCACTTATGATTTATGTGTCGTTTGTCACCATCATATAAGAAGTATATAGATTTTTGAGAAACACAAAATTGGTGCATTTTCCACGTTGTGGATTAGTATAAGATGTTAAAAATTATTTTGAAGAACATTTAGTTTTGTAGTGTTTCACTTTTGTAAGTGGTTTTGTGTAATAGGGTCTTTTAGTTTTTTAAAAGTTTATGAAATTTGAACACTGTAATCCTAAAGATTTCTTATCGTTGCTTTAGTATAGATGGTTATAATGAGTTGTTTATTTTATTCTAATTCTGTTTGCTTTAAATCCTTCTGCCTCAGGCACCCTCTCCCCCCACTTTTTAAAAAAGTATGTCATTGCTAGCATTAGTGGTCAGTTACTATTGCTTGATAGTGTTTTGTTTTGTTTGGTGACTTATAAAATCCCTCTGTAAATATCGCAATTAAATAGCAAAATTAGGTTCAATCTGGTGATCAGTTTTCTTAAAGTATACTTTTAACTCCCAAATTTCCACTTTCCAGGTAGAGTTGAGGACGTTTTGGAGTCCAGAGTGCAGAGTGGTATTTTAGTCTTAAACATATATTGATAGTCTCTTAACTAAAATCAATTTCACCGCACATTTTCTCCTTTTATATGAAATTTAGTTTTTTAAGAGAAGCATTGTAAGTAAATTAGTTGTATTAAGTTTATATTTAAAAGGGGTGGCAGTGATCCTTTTGTAGTCCAAAAGGCAACTGTGCTGTTTACTATCAAATGTAATGATTCCTTTTTTATTTTAATGGGATCGGATTTGAAATAGTTAATCTTCTGATTGTCTTGGCTGGTTATTTTAAATACTTTGGGATTTTTTAGTTCCTAAATGAGTTAATTTATAGCACTCTTTGGATTAAAAATGAATTTTTTGGGGGGTGTACTCTGGATTGAATCCAGATGCACTTAACCATTGAGCCACATCACCAGTCCCCTCTTTTTTTTTTTGAGATAGGGTCTTGCTAAATTGTGTAGGGCCTCACTGAGTTGCTGAGGCTGGCTTTGAACTTGCAATCCTCCTACCTCAGCCTTCCTGAGTTTCTAGAATTACAGGAGTGTACCGTTGCTCCCAGCTAAAAAGGAATTCTTAATTATTTCCAAAATCTAATTTTCCTTTCTACTTCTTTTTGGGGGTATGTGGGGAAGACAAGTCAATGTTGGTAGTGGAGGATTAGTTGCTGATTCCAGATTGTTTAGTTGAACTGGAATTAGTGCAGGTTGAATATGAGTATCCCTTATCTGAAGTGCTTGGGGTCAGAAGTGTTTCAGATTTCAGAGTTTTTCAGATTTTGGAATGTTTGAATAGATTTTACTGGTTGAGCATCCCTACTCAGGAAATCTGAAATACTCCAATACTTTTTGAGCATTTTTTATTAGAAATGCTAAGTGGGTTCACACAGTGATTATGATCAAGATGGGTATTTGGTTATGAGGTGATTATTGAGGAATCCTATGGGACTTAATATTACCTACAAGATTCTAGGAAGATCTAGGCTTTCTCTGATGTGATGTAACCTATTGCTTGGCTGCTCCTCACCCTTATTCTCAAGCTTTTCCCAGTGTGGGGAAAGTTGTGATTTTAGTTTAGCTTTAGATTGGCTAAAAAAACAATAACAGGGTCAGTCTTTTTGACTTATATAAAGGTATTTCAAATTATTCTGATTCCCTCAAATTTATAATTGGGGCAATTCTAGGAAACATTTGAATGCCAGTTTTTAGCCTTAATGGGGCTAGGGCTACACAGTATGGCCAGAAATTTCTTATGAAGTGAAAATTGGTTATTTGCTGTCTTTGGAAACTTGCCACTTCTGAGCACCTGCCTAGTATTTAGCTACTTGAATTAATGTTTTTAGGAATGAAAGGCAGTTTTATAAGTGCTTAGTTCATTTAAGTATTTGTTAAACATCCATCTTTTACCAGGCATTGTGGGCAAAGATATTGGGGAAATTGCACTAACTTTCAGGAACTTGTAGGCCTTAGAGGAAATGTAATGTATTCAGTTATTGTACAAAGCAAAAATGTGCTATATGATAGTACAGGCAAGCGCTGGCATATTGAGAAGTGAGAGAAATGTCTTGAGATGATGAAGGCAGGCTTCTTGAGGAAGGTGACAAATTTTTGCTTACTTTTGATGAATATGTTAAAAGAATTCCATTCATGAGAAGTAGCATGAGCAAAAGTGGAAAAGAATAGCAATGAGTTGTCGGTTTAAGCTGCAGTGATTAGTGTACAGGGCATGGAGATGCTACAGGTTTGTAAAGTTAGGTTATAAATTTTTCAAATGCAGGTTAAAAAGGGGAGACCTTGTTAGGCAACTTGAGGTTTTTATCACATTGCTTTCTTTTATAATTCCATTGTGGAATTCTACAATGAACAGGTTGTTTTGAAGCCATCTTGATAGGGACAAAATTATCCACAATAGTACTATATTTGAAGTAAGCTCATTTGGAGGTTATTCCCTAGGTACTGTTGCATTTATTCTTTTAGAATTGCTTAAAATCAATGGCATATTCATTCTTTGAATATCCTTAGTTTTGGCAGATTTTCATCCTTATAGGTTGAATTGATTATTTGGAAACAGTCAAAAAGTATCTGCTGCATAGTATGGCAGATAAAGGTATATATTAAATAATGAGATTGGTTTTCTTGCTTGGCTTGCAAACTGGCTCTGAAAGCTCAGCAAATGGGTTTGATGTATTTTGATGTACCTCTGAATCTCTCTTTTGATTCTTACCTTTTTTTGATGTCTATCCATCTGCTGTGTGGGATCTTGAGATGGGAAAAACTACTTTTTGTGGTTTCAAGTTAAAAACTTAATATCACTACTGTACAAAGTATCTTTTAATCTATCTGCAGATATTTAAAAATTATTTTTACTATTCCATGCATTTGCATATTGCTTTGGGGATAATTCCATTATAAGATGTCTATATCTTGAATTTTTTCTTCTTATAATCGAGATATAATTCACATACTGTAAAATCCACCTTTTTGAAGTATGTGATTCAGTGATTTTTAGTTGTATTGACAAAGTTGTGTATGTATCATGACTAATTCAGAACTTTTCTTACCTAAAGGCAGTCATTTCCCAATACTTTTATGACCCAGGTCTTGATAGCCACTAATCTACTTTGTTTCTGTGGATTTTTCTAGTCTGGTTTTTTTTTTTTTTTTTTTTTTTTTTGAGAGAGAGAGGGAGAGAACTTCTTTTAATATGTATTTTCTAGTTTTCGGTGGACACAACATCTTTATTTTTATGTGGTGCTGAGAATCGAACCCAGTGCCCCGTGCATGGTCACCCTTTGAGCCACATCCCCAGCCTTAGTCTGGTATTTTATGTAAATGAAATCATTATGTGGCCCTTAATGTCTGACTTCCTACTCATAGCATACTGTTTTTAAGGTTCATCCAAAATTGTAACAATTATCAGCAGTTTTATTCCCTTTATGACAAATTAATGCTGCATTGTATGGACATACTATTGTTTGTGTAGCCATTCATTGGTCAGTGAACATTGGTTGTTTCCAGTTTTTGGAGACTCTTCACTATTGACTGTTATGATAATGCTTCTATGAACACCTGTGTAAGCTATGAACACCTGTGTAAGTTTTTATGTGGGCATTTATTTTTAGTTCTCTGTGTTTATACTTAGGATAATATTGCTGTGTCATATGGTAATTTTATGTTTTAGCTTTTTTTTTTTTTTTTTTTGGCAGTGTTAGGATTAAATTTAGGGCCTCATACATGCTGGGCAACTGCTCAATCACTTAGCTATATTCCTAGCCATGTTTTTAACTTTTTGAGGGACTGCTAAATCATTTCCCAAAGTGTTGCAGTACTGTAGATTCCTATCAGCATTTTCTGAGGGTCCTCATTTCTCCATGTCCTCTCTAACACTTTATATTACCCCTCTTTTTCTTTCTTATTATAGCTACGCTGATGAGTATGAAGTGCTACCTCATTGTGATTTT